TGTAGCCATGTAATTGTTGTTGTTCTTTCGTGTGAAGAGAAAAGGCTGTATTAAATGATGTATTTTGGCGCTCGTTGATAAATATGTATCGCAATATTTATTAAAATTGAGAAAATATTTTTTTAATAAAAAATAAATTTTTGTTGAGATATCTAAACTTTTGTATAGATTTAAGAAAAAAAATCATTTCTACCAATAATCTATACATTATTCCCGTGTGTGTAGTTTTTTGATTTTTTTCATAGACACATTTTTTTTTAAATTTGGATTACGTAAAAAAAGTCATGGTCATTTTTCGCCGAAAATGTCACATAACACGCCACCTCGTGGACATTTTTGAAAATTTTTCCATTCTGACTTTGGATTCAGAAAGGTGAGTCTTGTGCCTTTCCAACGACGTATAAATCATTGAATTACCTTTCAGATGGCCAGAAAAATATCCAATTGATGAAAAACTCAAAAAGGGCCTCCCAAAAATGTTCGACCCCAGGCCCAAGAGATATGGGAGACGAAATCGAAAATTTCAAAAGCACATATATTCTCAGTTTTCCATCTACTTTCAATAAAAATTACAAAAAAAATGTTTTTTCAAAAACGAAAAATATATAAAATACATTAATAGAAAATGTCGATTCAATGGTAAAATATGTATATAATTTTTCAAAACCAAAAAAAAATTCTGCTCGCTTCGCTCGCACTTTTTTTTCTTCCCTACATGTATTGCATCATACATTTTTGATCTACAAAAGCATGACGTTTTTAATAATGAGACATTACAATCAGCTTTTATTCCATCCTTTTATTTATTTATTGAAAATATTATGCTTTGATCGAATTGAAATTATCTAAACAAAAAAGGCAAGACTATCAAAATTAAAATAAAAATTAAAACGCCCGCAGCGATCATCGATGGAAGAAAATAGATTTTTACCATCAAAAATGTTTCAAATAATTGTTTAGCACGTTAAACTAACATTATATCTATTTTAAGTTTAAGTATGATGAGCGTACATCAAGAGATGGTAAACAAAAACAAACAGGAAGTGCAAGAAGAAGTGTTAAACAGATTTGCTTCTGATTCAAGACGATTAGTTTTTTTCGAAAAATTAAAATGTCCACGATTTTTATTGCTCTCGCACCTCCCTGATTAAATTCCTGCGGACGCCCCTGTACCTCATCTTTTGAAGCTATCCAGTCATCGATCCATTTTCGCACTCCTTCAGCATTTCGAAATGATATCTCGGACAAGCCCATTTGCATCGATCGAAACAAGTGGTAGTCAGAAGGTCTGGAGAGTACGGGGGGTGATCAAGCTCATCCCGACCAGAGTCCCCTATCTTTTTTTTTGCGATGTTGGAAATATGTCAAATTTTGAAAAGTCTCTCGACTATTTCTCGTCGCAGTTTTTTTCAATTTTTCTCTCAGTACTCTGCTCAAACGTATTGGTTATAGTCGATACCGATCCCCCATGACTGTTTCACCCGGTTTCAGCAGCTCAAAATTCCTATTTTTGGAACATTGTGCCAAAATGTGAAAAAACGTCTTACAACTACTTTTGGCTTCAGTTCGTGTGGCAAACAATTTCTTTGGTCTTACATCATCATAAATATCTTAAAACGATTGATTCGCATATATTTATTGTCTCTGATGATTTCTGATGCATTTTCATGCATCTTTATCGAATAAACAACGCCAATAGCCCATCATTCAATTTTTTGTGGTGAGTTCACAGTTTTTCAACAAATTCACCACTTCTTTTTCACCAAATTCAACATTCTCTGTGGCGATTGAGAGGTCTCATCTCCTGCAACATTTTAAAACCTTTAGATGTATTTTCACTTCATTTAAAGCTAGGGAGCAGACAAGTGGAATAGGATTAGACTTTTAGTGTAAAAATTCGAGAAATTGCAATGAAATAGCAAAGCCTGTGAATGAATTCGCGTGGAATAGCGAAACAGTGCATGGAATAGCAAAAATTGTTTACTTCAAATCCATTTGACATTTCTTTTAACGTTTATTGATGGATTAGTGGAATAGTGTGGAATAGCAGAATTACTGTTTTTTGACGGAAACAGTGCATGGAATAGGAAAAATGGTTTCGATTTCACATTTGTGTTTTTGGATTAGTGGAATAGCTTGATTAGTAATTTATATAGTGGATTCGGAATTTATTTTTGGTGTCTCCCCCCTAGATTTAAAGTGAAAAAATTGAAACAAATTAAGGCCAGTCAGAAAAACACTTTTTCATCACTCATTTTGCATCGATCAGAAAATAATGACACTGTGTCAAAAATAAATCTTTCTGCTCTGAATTAGATTGACAAATATCACATGTACAAAGTGTAATTGGATTCACCTTTCAAGCAACACACTATTTTAAGTTACGCCTTCTCTTATCAATCCTTTAAAATTAATCGATACACCCAATACAAAAAAGCAAACAAATTTGTAATGTTTTTAGTACATTCTAACGTTGAAAAATGTAACGTTTTGGCCCATTCTGGTGGTCATTTTCGTGTCAAATAGAACGGAGATTATATGCATAGTTTCCACGAACTTCAATGGAATGGATCCACTTGTTTCTTTCACTTCCAATAATATTTCATTTGACAACATAATGTGAACACAACCCAATACATTAAGTTTTAAATTGAAAATTCAAATCTTACACACAAATAAAAAAATAAACAATTTATTCGGAAAGAGATTTGCATAATTTAATTTAAATCTCTGCAGAAGAACTCTTTTATACGTCATTTATTGCATTTAATTTTCTTTATTTGTGGAATTATTATTTTGAATTTTCGAAATGCAAATGACATCTTTCTGACATTTTTCGATTGGCGCAGTGTATCAAACCAAATGCAACGATATTCATTTATATGCATTAAAAATGTGCTCGCATCAAATGTGTGACAGTAACTATTGTTAGTATAAACAACTATCGCGAGTGAGTGTTTGAAGCGTGATTTGGGCGATTAATTGGCTTTATTGTCATTTCAAAAACGATTTTGTGTGTTCGGAATGCTGTTCCCTGTGGAATGGATATATTCACATTTGGTTTTGTGACTCTCTTTGTTTTAATTTCGAAATAACAGAGTGTTGATAACATTTACTGTGAACATTCCAACAACATTTCGATCGGCAAAATATTTGATGTCACATTGAAAATAAATTTCATCATTCGATTTAGAATACAGAGTCACTTTATTGAGGTAAGAGGTGATATTTATAATGCGTTCTTCATTACTGTTTCATTTGAATTGTGATAGAAGGGTTTATATCTTATTGTATTTGTGATCTATGCTATATTTGGTGCATTTTTTTCTTTCATTTTTGTACAATAGTTCTGTCACGATGAGAAGAAATAGATCCAAGAATGGGCGCAGTACGTCATTGAAGATGACTCTAAATCAAGTGCTGCGCGAAGAGTATCGTGCACCATTCATCGATCAGGTCACATACTGGTGCCTTTCGGCCACAATGATTACGACTCTGGCGTCATTACTATTTTTTGAATACACGAATGATCAATTCAATAAATACGTGAATGGTGTAATTTGTAAATGTTTCAACTCGGTATTACAAGAAAATTACCACAAATTACCGCTGTGGATTTCGACGTACTGTGGATCAAGCATGTCCTGATTTTCTTCGTCCAGAAAATTGGCCAGCTCGTGAGGGCATGGGGGAACGCATTCAATCATCTCATAACAAACGTGAAAAATAACATCAGCGTATGGGCATTCAGTCGCATCAAGAAATTTTTCACGCTAAAGCGCTATGAACTGAATTTGAATCGACAAGGAAACCTCATTACTGAATTGGATGTGAAACGTGCGACGAAGATCGTAATGTTCCAGAGTAGAGTCGGGAGAAACGCGAACATCGATCTTCTATTAAACGAAGCAGCAGGCATTGGATTGCCAATCAACGTAGACTTCCAGAATCTCATTCGTGATCGCTGGTTCCAACCATCCCAATATTTATAAACATTCAGCGACAAATTTTCGATGGAGTTCGTACATGGAACGCTACCGTTCGCAAACACGTTCGATCCGGCAACGAGGTAAGACACAATAATTCCATTGTTTATTTATCATTTGTTTACCTCTATGATTTTTTGTTCTTAAATCTCAGGAAAACATCACAATTGATGGTCCGAAATACCATTTCAAAGCGAAATATGGCAAACGCAAGCGTAATTCCGATCAATGGACTGAATTGTTGCAAAAACAACGGGAGCTTGACTCTAAACGCTATGCATTTTTTCCATCACCGAAAGGACGTTCACATTGGATGTGTTACATCGCTTATGACTGACGAAAAAAAAGTCGGCGCTCGTTTTTATTGGTACGGCTCAAATAGCTCCAAACTCATCAATTGGTATTAAAAAGCGATTGCGATGCCCGGGATTGCGATGACTATTGAACAGATTCAAGAAGTTGGGAAATTGTATCGTACGATTGGTTGACGAATACAATACATCGCAAACTTATGCAAAGTGTTTCCGGCCATTCGATCGACGAACCAAAAGCGATCGTTACAAAGTTTGTCAGCATTTTATAAAAAGTGAAGATGAGTCATCGCAATGGAATTTACCAAACGTGATTATCACCATGGAAAGCAACCAAGTGTACCAACAATTGCGTAAATATGCAGTTGATTTTGTTAATCGATTGAATCCAGCCAACCCAGATCATATTCCAATGGATTCAGATGGTTTTGTGTCAAAACTTCAAGTATGTTTCAAAAACTGGCAACTAAACACTGGCATTTGGAAAGATGATCGAGCTCCATTTCAAATAAAAACGGTTTGGCACCGGGATATCGTTGCAGCCAAGAACATCATGTACAAAGGTGAAAAAAGATCACTTAAATTAAAAATGTTTTGGCTAACAATTTGTTGTTTATGATTTTGGTTTCAGGTCTTTGTACGGTGTTGGGATTGGACATTCATCCGCAACTATTGAGACCACAGAATCAAAATGCTGCCGTAAAAAATCAAGCAGCTGACGATGAAGATTCCAGTCACGACGAGGACAACGTTTATGTTCTCGATGTTTCCAATGACGACCAGTTTTAATTACATGTAGCATTAAGATTTCTTTTTAAAAAATATTATTGTAACGTTTTTTTACTATGCTGGGCTTGAGTTTTGTGGCCTTGACCGAAGTACGGGTAGTTCGGTATATAAAATAACCCGTGTAGGTGAGTATCATTTATTGAACTGAACCGATAGTATATTGATGTTGATTCATACTTAGTAACTGAGTTTATTTTATCTCTTTTTTCTTTCCATTGCGACGTTGAAAATGACTGGAACTACACTCAAATCCGATCCCAATATTTACCGTCAACATATGCCCGATAATGGATGAATTTGCCACAACAAATGTTTATATCCTGTATAGAATCTTAAATATTTTTATTTGGAGTTTAACGTGTAATTTAGATTAATTATTTGTTATAATTATAATAATTATTTATTATCGTTTTCAATAAAAGATAATAAAAAGAATCTTAAATGATGAAAAGCGCGTTTATTATTTCTTTGGTTTTTCCAAATCTATTTTATACATAAAAGAAAATTTTACTATGTCTTTGAGTGTTTTAATCTAGAGGATAGACAGCAGTTTCTAGTATGGTTTTTATACTTCATTTATTATGCATTTAGTTTATACTGGGTTTTTTTTTTGTATTCAATCAAAAATGAAAATATTCTGCTATAGCAGTGCACTGCTATAATATACTATACATCAGTAATGTGCGAGCTACATTTTACAGGGGGGGGTGATTTTTCAAAAACTAAAAATTCTCTCATCTGAACAACAAATTTCGTTTTTTTTTTTTTTTTGCTCTTCACTTTTTTGGCGAAAATCCCTAGCAAATCGAAAGAATTTTCTCCGCGCAAAACCTCAGGAAATTACAATAAAATCGTTTTTTTTTTGGAAGTCACTTTTTGAGGCGAAAATCCCTAGCAAATCGGAAGAATTTTCTCACCCAAACAAAGTGAAGAGCTAAAAAAAAAAAAAAAAAGGTCTTCACTTTTTTCGTGAAAAACCCTAGCA